ATCTTTACAAAGGGTTTAAACCTTTCCAGACATCATGATCTTTGTGACAAGTTGGGCATGATTGATATCTATGCTCCAACTTGAGGGGGAGTGTTGACAGTTGTTTATGTATTCAGGTTTAGTACCATAAGGGTACTGTTGTAATTTCTCCTCTGTTTATATTGTTCGACTGTACTAGTATAAATAATATTATCATCCTTTCGCCCCCAAGGTTCTAGAGGGCTTTCAGACACTCGACTCACCTCTCTTCTCTCTTCTCCTCTCCTCTCTTCACTTGCTCATGCTCAACAGTTACTTTGACCCTATTTACAATAGGTGACTTTTTAGACTGACCAATTGGTACCTATTGAGCTTTATTTTCTCCATTATATTACATTGCTATTTATTGCTATGGAGATTGTTTGACATGAAGCAGCATTGAATGTTGCTAGTTCTGGTTCAATGAGTTCCAAGAATGGCTATGATGACACTTTATGATGCCCGTTACAAGTTTACAACTGTGAAACTTGATTGTAAGGCTACATTGAATGGGCTCACGCAGTAAAAATGAGTATCACTGGATGGGGCAAAATGGGATACCTCACTGGAAAAGAAATTAAACCTACCACAATCAGGTTTATGTTTCTGGGTTATACTATTCACAGTTGCTTTGACCCTAGTAGAAGATCAAGACTATAATCAGTCTTGAATCCTAACAGGTTTTAGGTTTACAAAACAGAAGAAAAGTGAGAGAAGGGAGAAGGAATAGAAGAGAAACAGGAGAACACAAGGGGTTGAAAGGAGGGACAGATTCTAAYDKRTCTGCCGCCGCCACTCTCTTATTATTTATAGGTTATGTTCAGTACATAATGGAAAKGACAGATCTGCCCTTAGTACTTATATGATAAATAAAGTAAATAAAAACTGAAATAAATAACAACTGAATTAACAAACTGACCCAAACTGACACTACTATAACTGAAACAAATAACTACACATGCTGTCCTACGAACACAGTGGGGCCCACATCAGTGTTCTCTACAACCCTATTTCCAGTTGAAAGTTAGTGTCACAATTGTTACCATTGTTGAGCCCTTACCCTTCTAAATTGATGATTCTAGTAAGGAAATGTTGGTGTCAGCTTCAACCCTTATAATTTCTGTTACTCTACCTATTATTGTTCCTCAATCTACTGTTTCTGTTCATGTTCTTCCTACTCCACATTATTTTTTTCTTGAGTTGAGTCCATAATATGAGATTCAGGTGCATCAAAGGCACTCCACGGGTGCTACACAGAAGGTCAAATATGTAATTTGGTTTCAGGTGGTGACTTTCTTTTTGGTTCTTTACCCTAAAGGATTATCTTGTTCCTGTCTCTTTTTTTTTTTTGTTTTTCTCTCTCTTTACATCCACCACAGAAATAATAATATTATTTGAAAAAACAACACTTTTTATTTGTTCCAGGCAGTTTGATGAAAGTGTAATACCTCCTGAACAGGTTCATTGCAATCAGCTGGATTAATAAATTCTGTTATACCAAAAGCCTTTCCTGCACTAAGAAGAGGTCCTCAAAGACCTAAGGTTCTTGAAATGGATCAAACCGTAACCAAAGAAGGAAGCCGCTGAATATACAATTACCTTTTTTATATTTCTCAGGGTTGGTATCTACACCAATTATTCTAGATGCCCCCCTTAGCTTGGCACCTTGTGCTACCTGATTGAAATTTTGTAATAGATAAAGTCCACCAATAAAAACTATCTGAAGGGATTCTACATATTTTCAGTAGGACAAACTTAACTAGGCATACTGAATTTCATACTTACAGAAAGGCCCACAGTTCCTAGGCCAAAAATAACTACATTTGAACCTTCTGATATGTTAGCAACATTCCAAGCCGCACCCAAACCTGGTAATATTAACATAAGAAAGATTTACTCAATAAAACATGAGAATGTCTTCATAGCAGACCATAAAATATATTAAAATATGAAGAGGTAGGAAAGAAGCAACAAACAATCAGTAAGTAATTTGATTATACTATCCAGTATAGCAAACTTTACATATCTAGTTAGGCTTTCAATAAACATGGCAATAAACGTGAAAAGTGCCATCTGACATGGAGAGATGAAAGAAGAGGAATAATGGAGCAAGAGAAAAGAGAGAATTGCAAGAAGTCAAAATCATTAGGGTGCAGTGGTGCCTCACAACCCTATTTATATTTAGTGTTTTAAAATATGAAGTAAAAAGACAAAACTTCCCTTTCTTTAATACATAGTAAGAATAATAACATTCCCTCTCAAGTTGGATCATATATGTCATACATTCCCAACCTGTCACATAACCCTTTATGATGCAAGAGGGTAACACACTGTGTAAAATAATACATCAACATTTTGCTCATTGGAGCCAACAAAATGTATGCAAAGTTCCCCTCTATTCACTTTCTCACGAATAAAGTGCTTGGCCACTTCTATATGTTTGGTCCTATCATATTGAACTGGGTTGTGGGTGAATGTTAATAGTGGATTTATTGTTTTTTTTTTTTTTTGACCAACAACAGAAATCTTTATTGAATTCAATTAAGAATAAGTTACATAAAAACAAAGGGAGGTAAACTATCTTAATTCCCCCAAAACAAAGAAAAGAAAAAGTACAGAGCCAGAAGTAAGCCCAAAACAAAGAATCCCTATTCATCCCTTGCTTAGCTAACCCACCAGAAAAGGAATTTGCAGTTCTTTTCACCCAGTTGTACTTTATCTCAACATCCCTTGCCAACCAGTTAATAGTGGCTTTATTGTCCCAATACAATGATATAGGTTTTGGAGTAAGAAAACCCAATTCAACAAGAAGACTCTTCAGCCATAAGATTTCAATTACTCTTTGAGCCATAGCTCAATATTCAGCCTTTGTGCTTGATGTAGCTACCACAGTTTGTTTCTTGCTTTTCCATGTAACAAATTTCCTCCTACAAAGGTGTAATAGCCTGTGTAGATCTCCTGAATCAATAGATGTAGCCCAATCCACATCTGTGTAGCTCTCCACACTAATATGATCCCGCCTTAAAAAGAGAATTCCTCTTCTAGGATGCTTCCTCAAGTAGCCAAGGACATGCTCTACAATAGCGATGTGAGAGGAATTAGGTGAGTGCATGTACCAGTGATATAAAAGGCATGCCCAGGCGCACAGGCAAGGCGCATTTTAGGTATGTGCCTCACCTAGGTCCCAGGTGCACCACTTTCAAAAGGCACCTGGTGTGCCTGGTGCGCCTTGTGCCTCAGCCCAAGCATGCGCCTTTTTTTATTTTTTGGTGTTTTTTCAGCATGGTGGCTGGGCCGGGGGCTCCACCCTTGGACCCCCCCAACCAAGCTCCTTTAGGCAAGCCCAAACAAGTCCATGTTAGGGTCATAAATTATTAATCCCTAAAAAATGATTTTATAATTTTAATTATCATTTAAAAATACCTTTTATTAGGATGAATGAATAAACAAAATTAGGTAATTAGAATCTAAAGATAGGAAGTTAAAGCTCTTTTTCAAGGCTTAAAATGTTAATAAGCCCCATGGATGTCAAAGGTGAACTAATGAAATGGATGTGCAATGGTGTAATCTGCACCTACAGACTTTATTAGTTGATAAATCAAGCCAGAAGATGGAATAGGAATCATCATTTTCAACAGACTGTCTGACTGATGTAGCGGATTCTTTAGGTACAAAGTGTATAGCTAGAATATGGAGATGTTTTTTTATTACAGGTATGCTTGGATCTTTCGCCCCTAAATTTTTCTACTTTTTCATAATACAAGATAGTCCTATTGTTACCTACAAACTCTAATACAATCCAGTTTCTCAAGTAATGAACATCTGGACTATATGGATTGAAGATGAATGCACATAAGGGTTGGCTCCATTGAAACAAAGGTTTGGGCTGGCCAATAGTAAGACACTTCAGGCCTTAGCCTGATCTATACTAGTAACTTGAGAAACGTGGTCCATACAAAGCTTAGTAAAGTAAAACAATCAGGCCAGGCTCAAACAATTCACCTAAGAGGAGCATGACTGACAGACCTGTGATTGGACAGAGATTGTACTGCAAAACTGTTAAGTTGGTCAAGCTCCTTAACTAGCCAGTCTAGCCTAGCTTCGGCTCATACTCACATAATATCCAGTGAACATGCACAGCCCATCAAAATTGCAAATGGATTGTTAATTCCCGTGCAAACCAACTTCTCTAACAAAATCTAAAGCTTAAATGGATGAAAATTCAAGGTTCATTAGGATATCTTTCATTAAACATTCTAATGTTTAGGTTTAAAAGACCAAACCTCTCCATTTGGACATCTAAGAATAGGAAATCATCATATAATTCTCAACAATCATAATCTAATTTGAGACTTTGTTTTTGGGTGTTTGTGTGTATTTTGTTTTTGTTTTTTTTTTTTTTGTTCAGGGGTTTGTGTATGTCTGTGTATTTATATATTGAAGAGAGGGAGGTAGGGAGGGGAAGAGAGAGAAGGGAGAGAGAGAGAGAGAGCAAAGTTTTCAACTTTTCATGAATCTTAAATAAAACAATCATGATCTGACACGTTCCAACCAAAGTCAAATTTTCAACATCATGTTGTCAGGTTAACTATGGTCTTATCTGAATAAAAGAGTCAATTATATATCTATCATTACCATGAAAATTCTAATTGGAACAAATTTTTTTGGTCCACCCAAATAAGTTTATGAGTAAAATAAAAGGAAAGATTGACCCAACAGACCGAAAGAACTATTCACTTTTCTACTCTTCAGGCTACCTCTCCAAAATCCCTGCTGACTGAATGGTTGCATACATAGAGAGGTGGCAATTTTTTACTTGCTTTATGTACAAAAACCTATAAGAAACAAATTTTTGACATTTGGAAATAGAACAACAACAAACACAAATTGATAAATCCATCTAAAATATTGAACATTGTGGAAATAGAGCAATAGCAAACCTAGCCTGATAGAAATACTATAAGAACCTTACCTGCAGCCACTCCACAACTAAGCAAGCATATTTTCTCCAATGGTGCAGAAGGACATATTTTAACAGCACAGCCTGAGTGCACAACCGTGTACTCACTAAAACTCGAAACAGCACAATAATGATAGATGGGTTTCCCTTTTATCGAGAAGCGGGTCTTCTGATCACTATGCATTACACCTCTCCTTTCCAATCCCAATACCTGGCACATATTACTTTTACCAGAAGTGCAATGTTTGCATGTCATACATTCTCCAGTGAATAACGTAAGCACATGGTCACCTTCTTTAAAATCAGTCACTCCTTCTCCAATGCTCTCAACAATCCTGTGAAATTTCAATTGAAACATGAAATTCCAGTTAAAATTTTGAGGGAAAGAAATGAAATGAAACAGCATGGCAGACCCAGAGAAAATTGCCATTCTTTCCCAACTGTCCAATAAATGTGATACTTCTTGTATAGCATGTACATCAGCGTCCATGCAATTAAAAGATGAAGTCAGTGACTTGACTACTTAGGTAATTGGATTGATAAGGTCATGCCATTAGTTTAATTTTTAGTCTATGCTCAACAAAGCATGTGGACTACCAACAATAAGATGGTTATTGTTTTAAAAAACGGAAACTGAATTGGACCATTTTTGGTCTAGTTCAGTGGTTTGGGCAGTTTAGCCATCAACAGATTGTCAACCTCTTCACAACTTCCAGAAACATGATTGATGATTCAAACAATTCAACTGTGAGGTTTGACGGGTTTTTAAGACAGTGTCTTAAATTAACATCTGTCATGCAGATGCTAGACAATTATATATGGTTTTTAGAGTAAGAAATCACCATACAATGTCATATTCTCCAAATGGTAAGTATAAGATGATCACATAAAAGAAGGAAAACAAGAAATGAAAAGTTAAGTTTGAGACTTTGAGTTGATCTCAGTATAGAAGGAAGAAATAAAACAAACCCTGATGCCTCATGGCCAAATATCCGAGGAAATAGTAGAGTGTGTGCCTGCAAAAATAAGGGATTCTTAGTGGAATGGAGTTGAAACAGTTTTAATATAGATGTGACAAAAATTCATCTATGTGCAAAATCTTGACCCATCAAGCTCAGCAGCTTCATTTTATTTTTATATTTTTTTGGTAATCGTTAACTTTATTGTATTGTGGAAAGGAATATATGTCTTGTACAAGTGATGTGCCGAGCACACCTCATAACCCCGTACCCCTTGCCACTAACCCAGTTACACACATCTACTTACTAATTTGTTTGTACATTGTTTATAGTACAAATGGGTCCTGTACACCCCTTGTTTGGATAATGTGTCATCCAGCCCATTTCCTTCCCTTCATGTCCACTCATTAAAAAGAAAAGGCCATTACCCAATGTTGGTCCCAGCTATCTGGAATCGTGGGAGGGTTAGACTGGATTCTGTCCTAACTTTTAGCATTTTTTTGCACAAAGTGGCCGCTCCCTGACTCAAATCAGCATTCTCACACTTCCCAGCACAAGATTTTACCAATACACCAAGCATTGGCCCCTTTTGTATCCACCCAATAATAGCTCTTAATTCCCTCATTAACCTCCTGATAATATCCCTTACCAGATTCCTGCACCTCCACGGTGCTGGATTGTTATGTCTTAAACATTCCACAATAATGAGTTAGTCCCCTTACATTGAGATGTCCCCAAAGTTAAGAGATCTAGAAAGCTTTAGGCCAAAAAACAATGCTGATAATTCTTCATTATAAGAGTTTCCTTCGGCAACTTTATTGGTAATAAACTAATAATG